AATGCATTCGCCAAGAAGAAACTCGTTTGTGGAAGAAGACAATTTTGTCATGGCTTGCGTCACAGTACATCGCCAACATGGCGCAGAGTATTGCGTTGCTCTTTCCGAGATGAAGGTCTGTTTGTTTTATGCAGAACCATATTTCTGTTCCATGTCCATACCGAATAAGCATAATGACCTTTGACACAAGAATGTTCAACATATTAGTCAAGTGCTGTTCGTGTGTGTGAGGTATCTTGACATGCGAAGCCATGTCTCTATAGACGTCAGTTTCATTACAGCCCCTAATGCATCGTCAGAGTGGGTGGTGGGGTAGCCTAGTGGTTAAAGCGACGGCTCGTCACACATTAAGACCCCGGTTCGAGTCCCCACATGAGTACAAATAGCCTTGCTCCAAGGCTGTACTGAATGCTGACCCCATGGATGTGTATTAAGTCTGTCCCTCGAAGAGGCAAGCCCATACGCGGACAGTACAGTCTGTTGTTTATTATTTTTAGAAATTATCATTTAAACTATTAATTTTTAGCTTAGAGACTTGTGCGAGTCTAGGGTACAAAGTGTGAAGCCCATTTCTGGTGTCCCCACCGTGAAATTGCTGGAATATTGCTTAAAGCGGCATAAAACTTAACTCACCCGCCAACATTGTCAGAGATTAAAACTAATGCTCGCTCGTGCGTGTCATGTTTATTTAATAGAGCAATAACATGTTTATATTAATTTATGTGTAACAGGCGAATCTGAATATCGCTAGTGTGGCAGAATAGTAACATGTACGTATAACGCTGACTCATGTTAAACAGCGTGCGTATACTGAAAGCAGGGAGTTTTATTAAGTGTCACTTTTTTCAACTCTTGCAGATACATCACTGTGTGTAGAATAGCCTATAGTGATGCTAGTCACAGACCAACAAGCATTGATATTTATTTATTTATTTATTTATTTATTTATTTATTTATTTATTTATTTATTTATTTATTTATTTATTTATTTATTTATTTATTTATTTATTTATTTATTTATTTATTTATTTATTTATTTATTTATATAGCGCCAATATCCAGATCACCTGCTCAAAAGGCGCTTTGTTTTTCCCTCGATCATTGGATGTCAGTCTTAAACAGCACAATGTATTATCAATCTCAACTCCCTGGGGATCATACAACTCGATTGTCTGATATGATGACAGAATTGTCCAATATCAATCGAAATCTGTTATGGTTGGCAGTCAAGGATCGGGTGGTCTGGTTCGATATATGTATGATGCGTGTTATCATACCCCAGTTGCGTAGATCGATGCTCATGATTTCAATCACTGGATTTCGGTTCGGTGACTAACATGATGCATATTATCATATCCCATTTGTGTAAATTGTTGCTCATGATGTCAATCACTCGATTGTCTGATCCAGACTGGATTATTTTCACACCATATAGCAGTGTATGAAATAAGCCAAAAAATACCATCCAGACGAAATGGATTTAACCAGACCAGACACCAAGATATTGTGAATTTACTCAGATATATGGAATATTTAAACTGGCTAGCTGTAAATTAAGACCGTCCGTCAGAAATCTAGCCCGTCTCGGGCGGTCGGACGGGCCTTATTTCATACACTGCATATAGCAGGAACATTGCTACTGTGGTATAATAACATGCAGTATAACCCACGTGTCGTACATTAAATGCGAAAACAACACATTATATGGCATTCTATCCCGTTATATGTACTTTTATTGCGTTAGATAAACTGACTCAAAGCATACTTTGTTTCAGTTACAGTGTGTTATTGTTTAAGCCCCAATCTTCCCGTGGCGCCGTGTTATTGTCCGACAAATGATGCTGAAGTGAGGCACCAGTGTCCGTCCGTCTTCCTACTGTCAAGTTGATGCTAAATCACTCCATTTCCTTTTACACTTAACACTAGGGTCTATTGTTTGTTGATATATTTTGTTATTCAGAAACTAACTGTTATTTTTATTATCTGTGCAAGTACAAATGTGCCTGATGTTGAGGCTCTTTTCGGGAGGAGTAAATCACTGTATGGGCACATTCGCGCACATATCGATCTCCTGATTGGTCGCGTGTGGCCTTTGTGTAGAGAGTGAGCAGTTTGAGAGTGTTTGTCACTTCTGTTGCTGAACTGATAACGACTATTAAATAAATTCATATATTGTAAAATAAATAAACTATAACAGTGGTAGGTATCAGTGATAAAAGACGACAGGGGAGGATACAGCTTTTTGAGAAACGGGGTGCACACTTTTGAGAAAGAGGGGTTCGCACTACATTTTCACCCGTTTTCACGAGAGTTTCAATGGTCATTTAATAAACTTTCAGGACAGGGGATGGGGGTAAAGGGGCGCACCTCTGCACACATACCCTCTGGATCCGCGTATGAGGTATGAGACTTACAACACATGATGTCACATCTGTTTATATTCCATCCCAGAAGAGGCCACAGTCTTGTAGAACTAAAATGGTTACTTACTAGGCAGTGTTGTTGTGAGTGCTGTTTAGAGCTGATACTGTGGTGTGTTGACAGTCATGACATAGAAAAAAGCATTTTAGTTCTATGTGCGAGATATCTAGACCTTTGTTATAGTAAACTTCATGAACATATCGCATACATACTATTGCATCAGAGATCAATTAAAATGGCGAAATCAAAATTTCGTTTGGTGAGCTGGATTGTGTGACATGTTTGGTAGTAGAGCTTCAATTAAGCGTAATACAATTCACATCCTCATTTAGAATTTTTGTTGGCTACATATTACTTTACATTTGCAAATCAGAATTGAAAGGAATTATATTTGGCTTGTTGGCCCCTTTTAAGCAATAAATATAAAAATTCAAAACTCATTGGCCATGTTATTTGGTAAAACTACATATTTTAATATACATGTACATTAAATATACGCTAAGCTTGCATAATTTATGTTTTGTATATTCAGAATACTATGAACGTAATCAACAACATTTCAAGGTAAAACAAGAAAACAAAATTTACATTTTTTGCCTACATGAAGTATGCACGAAGTTATATGATATATATTTCAGATTTATTAACTAACTGCTTTCTTCTCTACAAAATCTCTACTCTCCTAAGTCAGGTGAAGTATCATTATCTGTTGTTTCAGTTCAGTGCACTTTCCGGGTTATCCTATTACCTAAAGAGGGGTGATGAGGAGTTGTTGTTTTAACAATTTGTGGTAGAATTGGGATTTGGAAGTTTTGGGATGTGGCAGTTTTGGGATATAACCACATGCATGTGAGGGGAAGGGTTGGGTGTAATGGAGTGGGGGGGTCCACTGAGGAAGGGGCTGAGGGGATATAGGAAGTTTAAGGGTTATGGTTTCCTTCTAACTTGACTTATTGATTCTAATTTCACTTTGGTTTTGTTAGTGTGGTTTAGTGTAAGAGTATATTAAGTTTTGCATCTGTTGTGCTGCCAGCTGGCATGCCACCATCATTTCATCATAAAAACGTGACAAGCTGGTTATATATCAATTTCGCAGCATCATGCTATTCCTGACGATATCATATTACAGACAACCACAATTGTATGCTTTCATAGTTGGATATGTTTTAATTTATGGCGAGCATTGTCTACATCTACCAGTGACGAAACGGATGGCTGAAATCGTGTTGGGGATTTATGCACTGTAAATCTAGTCTAAAAATATGTATTTATTTATTTTAATTTATTTATTTATGTATTTATTTATTTCAATAAAGAAACGATAATTAAGTAAAGTAACACAAACATTCAACATTTATTTGTTTAAGAAAAACGTTAATTTAAATTTTTACCCCACCTGTATTATTAGCATAAATGTAAAGACTATTTCAGATTTCTGTTGTTGAACTCTGAAAAAATCTTAAGTTGTTGTTTTGGTACCAAATTCTCTCCTGTAAACTGCCCTTTAAAGTGCATGGGAATGTTAAATCAATTGAAATAAAAATTAGGTACACTATAGGTGAGTTGATATATTGACAACATAATACATTTATCACCTTTCTAAAGATATTAAGGCTAAAAAGCATTTTTCTAGCATTTCCGACAGTACTTTAGTTTTAGTTGCTAGTGGCCCATAGCTCGTGTTGTAATAGCATTACATGTTCTGATTCTGCAGGTGTTGAGTAGAATATTTTAGTATTTCAATGGTTAGTTTTTGGATTCGAATTTTGTGATAGCTTACTCATGTTTTACTGTACTTTGTGACAACTGTTTATCATAATTAAGTTCCCTATAAGGCTCAGATAGCGCCGTCGTGACGATAAACTTTACCCCACTCGCTCACGACATATTGATTATTTTTGTCCTTCATCATGTTCCATTCAGTTATCGTATCAGTAGTATCAGAATGGTAACCCTTGCTGAAACAGTTTTGAAATAAACCCTACTTAAATTATTCATTTTGATAAGGACTTGTGAATTATCACCCACTTTAAATAACGGCATATGCGGTATTACGGGGCGCTTGGGTAAAGCGTTCCCTCGTACGCTGAAAATCTGGGTTCGATTCCCCACGTGGGTAAAATGTGTGAAGCCTATTTTTGTGTACCCCGCAGTTATATTGATTGAATATTGAACTCACTCACTCTCTCACTCACTCACCAACAGACGCTCGACACCACACTAAAGCTTGAACGTTAAAAATGCTTGCCTTAAGTGTTATAGTTTTCTGAAGCGTAAATATAAACTGAAATTATTTAGATGTGAAAAAATCCTCTTTCACGGTGGTTGCGCCAAACTGTGTCAATGGCATGCATAATTTTATGCAAATCAGATACTTTGTCCTTTACTAAAGAGTAAACAAAAGTATCGATTTAGTCATGCAATATTGGGATTAATCAAACAAGTCCATTAACCCCAAAAGCATAATTTACGATAATCGATATGGCCAGATATAATCAAAATATCACAAGATGTGCGACATAAAGAAGCGCTACAATTTCGACGATGAATGGAATCTGTCCACATCCCTTCAGTGCGCATGTCGGTCAAAGCGCAACTGGGTCGGTGGCTTCAAGCAGGGAGAGAGTTAGGACGATGTTTACCGGAGACGGCGGATGATATTAACTTTGACAGTAAGTTAAAAACCTTTCTTAAGTCACTTAACATCTACTTTTGTCATTTGTTTTTGCTAGGAACGAGCCGTTTCTGTGTAAATCACTTCGCAAGAAATGACACAGGCAGTTGTGTTGATAGCGTGTTGGTTCATTGTTCACTCAGCTGATCACACGGCTCTGTTTGTAGATAACTTGGAATCTGCGTGAAATATGCCTCTATGATTTACTTTACCCTCCCCCTTTCACGTTTCCATTCGATCATGTTAACAACCCTCTGCTTGTTTGCGTAAGTACGCTCTATCCCGTTGTTGTACAGGCAGCGAAGCATGACCGCGACCGTCCCTGACCTGGGAGATACTCAACAAGCACATCGAGGTTATGGAAGCTGTTTTACGCTTGTTGGCCTATATTCTACCTCAAATAATGCTGTGCATATGACAAACACGTTTTATGACTAAGTGAGGAATGATATATAAGCTCAAATGGCTCAGAAAGACTCACTATAGCTCACACCAGCTGTTTAATCGTATTACGAGTTGGCCTACATTTCTGGGCGACCCAGCTCGCCGTCAGCAGTTGATCAGCTGTTCAAAACCGAATGCGTTTCATCAGCCTTATGCATCGACTGACTCACTGACTGTTGTCAGAAATAAATGTAGCATTGTGTAGATTCAGTCTGTCAATATAACGTACATTGATGCTTGAAATGATCGGACGCTATGGTTTGTGATCGGGTCACGTTCAGCCTCTGAGCCCTAATAAAGCCCTGCATTTCAGTGTACATTGTATAAGGTCCGTGTTTCGCTGTGTATGCGCATATGACATAGCGTTCAGCGTGTCTGGCTTGTCAGTTTCTTGTTCATTTCGTGTACATTTCATGTACACTTCTGCCTCGGACCTCCGACCCACACGTCCGACCTGTCACTATGTTGTCAGTGCCGTTTACATTTCAATCTATCACTTGTGTATCAAGAAGTTTAATTCAAAATCCAAAACATTCAGGAATATCGGTTTTATTTGAACTGGGAAGTTATTTTGTCATGAAAACCGTTGTGTGAAGAAATGGTCGATTCTGCACTTTGCTTCAACCAACGGCAATAATGATTAATGCGATGCCTTTTTAAAATGTTCTCAGTCTAATATCACGACTAAAGCACCACCAACGATCGTTTGTGATGCTATTTCCCCGAGAGCTGCAAGATTGCAGTGATTACAATTAACAGCTGTAATGGAGACCCCATCAAACCCAACCAATCGTTTTACAAAATATGAAAAAGTAATGCACAATTATTGCTGTAAGATGTTATTATATCACGGAAAGCATTATTTAATTTTATGTTATCACTTCCTGGGTGTTGTTAAGCTGTTAGTGCTTTGTGTTGCAGCATGCGTGTAATGCTTCTTATCATGTCAATTGTCACAAGCATCTGTAGAGGATGCACATCTGATATGTTACATAATGTATATATGGCGTGTTTGAAAATGTAGGTGTCTCACGAGTGACCATATAAATTGTTTTCTTTTTATTAAATGGTATCTGGTCACAGATCGATCACGATGAAACAGTGATTCGTTCATTCGGTGGTTCGTTCCACCTACGCGCGCACACACACACACGCACGTACATACAAATTTATTTTTGGCCTTTATCTATAGCAACACCAGATGTGACCTCTTAGTGGCTAGAAGCAAACTACCGCTTAGTCTCTGAATAACAAATCCATTTAAATTGAAAAGAGATTCAGCTTAAGTGATTCTTGAACCTTAGGAAATCTAGACTTGCTTTATTTAGGACTTTAGCACTGCAGAGAGGACAAGGCAGTAGGGAAATTAATGTGGTTCAGGGACTATGAGACAGACTACGACTAGAAGTAACAAAGCATTTTGCTCAGTGTTGCAGCTAGAAGTATGTTTATAATGTAAAATAACTATATATTAAATCTGTTCGTTACTCAACAAACCTGTAGATGTATATTTGGTATCAATTTGTATCGACAGTCCTAAATGAAGCAAGTCTAGATTTCCACCAGGTTCTGAATCTCTGGTCTGCCTTGGGCTCCTTTTCAATTTAAATGGGTTTATTTGTTACAATCAACATTATATATTCAGAGACTAAGCGCTAGTCTACAACACTCAGAGCAAGGAGGGCTATTGATTAATTAGATATAGTAGCAGTAATCTGTCTCAGTTCGCATTGTTTCCACTTCTGTCCAGCCCTTTCTGCAACGTCAAAGCTCTAAATGAAGCAAGTCTAGATTTGCTCAGGTCCAGTGTGTGTTTATAATTTGAATCTTCCTTCTCACTGGGGCTTCTTTTCAATTTAATTTTTTTTCTTTTTTTTTCATTCAATCAAAAGTATATATATTCAGAGACTAAGCGTTAGTCTATAGGAGAAGCAACATCCGCCAGTATACAAACAATACAAGTAGTTTCCTCTTCAGACCTTTTTCACAAGGTAACACAATCGTGATGTCATTTCTTTGTTTAGTGACGACTAAATAATACATTTGCAAGTGCGCATTGTAAGTGGTTTAAAGAATACCGCGTGGATTACCCTCTTTCTGAATATATTAGCTCCAATGATGCTTTTGACATCAAACTGTGATGCATTAATACAAAAGTCGAAGTCCTGAATAGATATATGATATGATGTGATATGTGATATGATGTGATATGTGGTATGATATGATACGATACGATACGATACGATACGATACGATATGATGTTAAAGGCTTCTATTTATATACAAAAACTGTTTATGTCAAGAAAAGCGTGACTAAAATGTTACTCTTAATTTCGTAACATGGGCCTACATTACGGAATAAAGTCTGCCTGTAATCATATTAAAGGCATATGTTTCAATGAATATTCAAGCATATATACGTATACATATAAGCATATGTATTATATATTTATGTTAAATGTCGTAATACATTATGATATCAGTCACTGGATTGTTTGGTCCAGACTCATTTGTTTATATGTCATATACATGTAGCCGAAATATTGCGGAGTATCAGGTCAAACAAGATACAAACAAACCAGCCTAAGGGTGCTTCTCATCTCCTTGTCATAACAGTTGTGGCAAGCTTGTCGCTGAAACCCTGACTGTCGGAGTAAATTTCCAGGATACCGTTATCTATCTGGGGTAGTGCGGTGTGTATCATTGTTACGATGTATTACGTGACGTTCATCACCGGATACGTTTAATAATGGGGCAAGCAATAAATGTTTGTAAAATCCATACAAATACAACTGTCCCTCAAAGATGCAACTGAAAAAGAGCCCTTGTCACGATACTGATTGTTTTTCTTAGTTATTGCACTGATGGATTCAATTATGAATGTCATACGAGCTCTGTCATACCATTGTGGACATGAATAATTCAATAGACATCTGGTGATGTATTTTGTGTAGTTTGTCTAACAGTCCCTTAACCATATTCTTTTATCTTCTGCCCAGCCCTTCCTGCAATGCCAAAGACCTAAATGAAGCAAGTCTAGATTTCTTCAGGTTCAGCGATCTCCTATCTCACTGGGGCTCCTTTTCAGTTCATAAGGAATCGTTGGTTTCTATCAAATTTATATACATTCCGAGACTTAAGCGTTAGTCTATAGTTTGTGTACCGTTTGGTGAAAACAATAGTAATTATGTAGTGACACACTGCGTCATCCACTGTAACCTGAAGGACACGAAAATATTTTAGCAGTAAATACTTCCTCACATGGTATTGTCAGGGATTATTTGTGATCCGCTTCCTTTATATTTACTACCTATTTTGAATTTTACACATTCTCTGATTATTCATGTTTCGTGACTGTTTATATTCTTCGTAAACGAATGCGTGTACACCCCATTAACAAAAATGAAGTTATAATGTCCTTATGCACTGTTCTTATATGTTATCTCAAATGTTGTCCTTATACGCTGTCCTTACACACGGTCGTCATACGCTGTCCTTATACGCTGTCCCTATAGGCTGTCCTTATAGGCTGCCCATATATGTTGTCCTTATACGCTGTCCTTATACGCTGTCCTTATAGGATGCCCATATATGCTGTCCTTATACGCTGTCCTTATAGGCTGTCCTCATATAGGCTGCCCATATATGCTGTCCTTATACGCTGTCCCTATAGGCTGTCCTCATAGGTTGCCCATATATGCTGTCCTTATACGCTGTCCCTATAGGCTGTCCTCATAGGTTGTCCTTATAGGATGCCCATAAATGTTGTCCTTATACGCTGTCCTTATACACTGTCCTCATATAGGCTGCCCATATATGCTGTCCTTATACGCTGTCCTTATAGGATGCCCATATATGCTGTCCTTATACGCTGTCCTTATAGGCTGTCCTCATATAGGCTGCCCATATATGCTGTCCTTATACGCTGTCCCTATAGGCTGTCCTCATAGGTTGCCCATATATGCTGTCCTTATAGGCTGTCCTTATAGTATGCCCATATATGCTGTCCTTATACGCTGTCCTTATAGGATGCCCATATATGCTGTCCTTATACGCTGTCCTTATACACTGTCCTTATAGGATGCCCATATATGCTGTCCTTATACACTGTCCTTATAGGATGCCCATAAATGTTGTCCTTATACGCTGTCCTTATAAACTGTCCTCATATAGGATGCCCATATATGCTGTCCTTATACACTGTCCCTATAGGCTGTCCTCATAGGTTGCCCATATATGCTGTCCTTATACGCTGTCTTTATAGGATGCCCATATATGCTGTCCTTATACGTTGTCCTTATAGGATGCCCATATATGCTGTCCTTATACACTGTCCTCATAGGCTGCCCATATATGCTGTCCTTATACATTGTCCTTATAGGATGCCCATAAATGTTGTCCTTATACACTGTCCTTATACACTGTCCTCATATAGGATGCCCATATATGCTGTCCTTATACGCTGTCCTTATAGGATGCCCATATATGCTGTCCTTATACGCTGTCCTTATAGGCTGTCCTCATAAAGGCTGCCCATATATGCTGTCCTTATAC